GATAGAGGGTGTGGCGCAAAGTTGTGGAAAATCCGACATTTTTTGAGTTAACCTATTCCGTTCACAGAGCCTCAATACAGGCAACGTATAGGCAGCATAGCGCTATTGCTTATTCCACAGAAATTGCAAATTATCGAAGATTGAAGCATTATAGCTAGAAAGCATCAGACTGAGACTGTATAACTTTCCTCTTTGAAAACTGGCCATTTCTTCCCTTGTGCATCATTTTAGATTCAAATAAGAAGTCCATTGGCTAAACGTAGGGAATTAATCAAAATAACTCACTCCTCCAACCTCATGTGATTCTGTCTTTACAATCGTCTGCCTGCAAAATAAGAAGTTTAAGTTTGGGGACTAAAACTCGAGAAATCCCAAGAATTTGATATTACCACATACTTTGACACATCGGTGCGAGTTTGAATATGTTCTTTAGGAGGAGCAGTGGTAGTAGTGGTAGTTGTTGTAACAACTCTTTGCGCAGGTTGAGTGACATTTTGCTGTACAGTCGATGTGACTTTAGTTTCCGAGAACGTGGGAGAAACTATAGCTCTAGGAGATAACTGAAGCTGAGGCTTGCCACCGGGAGGCACAAAGTCCTAAAAATACGGTTTAGCATGCCTCGAGTAGGTCTTCGAACTTTGAAGGATTTTTTGCATACCTTCTGTCCCCACTCGTTGACAAAAGCGCGTACATTTCTCACAACTCTCATCGAATTAAACTTCTCGTCGTGGGCTCGTGACGTACGCGCAGATGCAGTTGGCGCCACCTCTGTGGGTGTTGGCACTGGTGCTGCATTAACCAAATATTGGGAACGATCACAACTAGGATTATCTTAGAACTTACAAAGAGTGATTTGCCTTTCCTGAGTGACGTACTGTTTCTGAGGCACATAGGTGGATGTTCTCGTTGTATATACCTCTCCTTGAGCAGTTCTGTTGTCTACAACGTTGCCCACCACACCACCAATATGAATTCCAGGGGAATGCGCAACTTCCTCAAGGTGATGAATGGACGTGGTGCGCTTATGAGTTCTGCTATCGTCATGCTGACCCATGGCTGTCTTTTGGGTTGTCTT